GTTCTCACTCCTGTGCATATTCACCTGGTGGCTGGTCTAAATTCCCTCTTTTCTGTAGTTTGAATCTGTTTTTCACCCTTCTATTCTCTTCAGAGGTGGAGAATGACTGGTAATGTTGAGCAAATTGAGAAGGCAAAAATAGCACTTTGTGGTCAGGTCTGCACAGCCAAGCTAAATTGCAGAATCAAAGTCAGTAATTGAACAAGGCAGATGAAAAGAAGATACTGTTGTCTTATTTATCCAAATAGTGGCCTTACTTCTTCACTTTTCTTTGCTACTTAAGACTCAGTCAGTGAAATGAAAGAAAATATTTTGCTTACAAAAAACACCTCACAAGGGTTCTCTGAACTATTCTTTATATTAGCTATTGATGAGTGGATATATTGTATACTTCCATACTAAACAGTAAGGAATAAACTAGAATAACAGGTTTAATTAACACTTGTGGTGAATAAAGATCAATGATTAGTTACTCCAAATGTCTGAATGAGGATACTTATCCTATTCATCTTTAATAATTAAGTGCATTGTACTATGTACAACAGCCAAGACATGGAAGCAACCTAAATGTCTATCAACAGATGACTGGATAAAGAAGCTGTGGTATATTTATACAATGGAATACTACTTAGCCATAAAAAAGAATGAAATAATGCCATTTAGAACAACATGGATGGACCTGGAGATTGTCATTCTAAGTGAAGTAAGCCAGAAAGAGAAAGAAAAGTACATATGATATCACTTCTATGTGGAATCTTTAAAAAATGACACAAATGAACTTATTTACAAAACAGACAGACATAGAAAACAAACTTATGGTTACTGGGGTGTAGGGGAGGAAAGAGATGAGGAGGGATAAATTGGGAGTTTGGGATTTGCAGATAGTAAGTACTATATATAAAATAGATAAACAACAGGGTCCTACTGTATACATATAAAACTCAGCCACTATGCTGTACACTAGAAATTAACACAACATTGTAAATCAACAATCAAAAAAAGAATTAAGTGCATTGTAGGTGCTATTTATAGATACCTGAGAGTTCATTAATATTTAGATTAAAGATACTCTTTTTTACTGACTCTTTGGTCCAGTCTTATATTCCGGAGCTGTCAGTGGGAACTGATCTGGGATTTTGAGATAAATCCTGAAATATATATATATATATATATAACATATAGGAAAATATATGTTATACACCTGTGGGAGTACAGGGCACAGGAAAGTTTTAATCTTTACCATTTACAGTGGTTATTCTCATGGTAAGAGATGGTATCCATTAGATAAATAGGAGATACTGACATAACTGATTTCCACTACTTTTGGCTCTTTCTGGGTAGCATAAAGAAAAGATGTGCAAAAAAGCAGGCTGGTAATTTTTGTGCTTGTTTTCAAGGCTAGTTTAGGGGTTAGAGTTGTAGAATAGGAGCCAATTGTCATGGGGTCTTCTCTTAGCACTACCAGTGATTTTTTTCAGGCCATTTGACTTCTGAATATTTATCTACAAGGGAGATGTGAGAACTGCCACTTGCTCCAAGGATAGTATGATTTGAGCATACTAACTTTCGTGTCTTGGATGATAAATCAATTGAAACAGAATGTTCAGACTAGAATAATGCCCCAGTGGCATGAAAGATTATGAGCAACTTAGGCAAATGAGAGCATTGTATCATTGCACTATATTTGGCATCAAAATCTTTTGTGCCCGATAATGTTACTTACCGTTTTATGATTTGAAATTAAGCTAAAATCCCCAGAACCAGTACCTTAATGGGCTGATATCACATGCACCTAAGAAGAGAATGCAGTTCTAAAGATTTCATGCTTTTTATCTGTTAGTAGTGCATTGAAATGCAGCACTATATTTAGAAATATTTAGAGCATATTCATAAATAAATGAAGCAGTAAAAGCCACTTTGCATACACCTTTGGCTGTTCACCTCTGTATCAGAATGACTTCTATCAGTCTTCAATTTGCTTATATTCAAGCTCCCAGAGAAACAGTTTCATTTCCTAACATAATTTGAGAAAATCCACAGCTCTTAATGCTGACATGGAAACGTTTCTGTACAGCAGAAAAAATAAACTCAAATGCCTGGAAATCACCATGGTCTGAGTATCTTTCCCTTTCCCTCCCTAATTAGGCTCTGGGAAAACAGTGACTCTTTTCTCTCACCCACTGGGAAAGTTATGAGACTCTTTTGCTCAAATCACCCAGAAGGAAAGCTTGGAAGTTCAGGGTCCTTAGAGAGTTGCCAGTTCTGCTAAAGAAGATTAAATGCCCATATCACATGTGTCATATCCTACAGCTAATAACAAGAAAGACACCAAATGGAGCATAGCCCACATGGAGGCAGCTACCACAGATCAGCCCAGCCTAGGGGGCCTTTTAATTTTATGTGGTGCACCAGACAAGATATTCACTCAAAAATAAGTAAGAACATCAAAAAGCCATCATATTGCATCTTGGCATATTTCACAGTTTGAATCCGAAACACAAATTTCTAGGTCGGGGGCAGAGGTATTTGATTTATCTTGGATGCCACTGTTTGCACCATGGAAGATGATGAAAGGCTCCTCGCTTACCTGTGAAGTTGATTTTCAGCAGGTAATCCTTGTACAACTTCTTCCCATCCAAGATCTTCATGGCGTCGCAAAGCTTGGTGGTGTTGGGACAGAGGGTGCGCTGCATTTTGTGCAGGGCATGGGCCATGGCGTAGACCGCGTTCACCACAAACATGATCTTGGATTCTTGCTCGTAGTTGCTGCTATCGATGGCCAAGTGCTTGTCACAAGGACGCCGGTGGTTGCGCTTGGTTTGGAGGCTGCACTGGAACTTCTGCTCCCAGAAGTCCCGGAACCAGGGGTTGCGGTGGTTGTTGTAGGGGTTGAGGCTCTGGAAGTAGCGGTCGAACTGGCGCACAGGCTGCGAGGCCAGCTCCAGGGTGATGGCGCCGTAGGCCACGTGCTCGCTGCCCTTGACGATGCTCTCCTGCGCGCCCCAGCCATCGCTGGCCACCCAGGTGAAGGAGGTGTTGGCGCGGCTGGCGGCGGCGATGAGCTCGCGTGAGTCGTCGCTGCGCATGAAGAGGACCACGACGCGCGCGTTGGGCTTCTGCAGCAGCTCGCGGATCACGCTGTCATAGGACTTGCGGATGTTGGAGCGCCCCACCTTCTCCGATGTGGCGATGCAGATGTTGCGCATGCGGGCTTCCTGCTCGAAGGCCTCGATCCCCGTCTCTCCGTAGTCACCCTCGGAGGCCACCGTAGACACATAGGTCCAGTTGAAAAAACGTAAGATCTCGGCCATGGCTTTGGCCTGGTAGAAGTCGGGAGGCACGGTCCTGGCAAAGTAATCATAGCGTGACTTGTCGCTGAGTTTGGCACTGGTGGACGCGTAGCTTATCTGCGGGATCTGGAAGAGCCTCAGCAGGTTTGCCACCTGGGGGAGGGAGACCGGGAAGGTACCATTTTTAGAAACCCAGAAGTAAATGAGTGCACATGGATAATGAATGATTCCAGGCCTTTATCCAGCTCCCTTTTCACCTCTGTATCATTCAGCTTTTCTTGACGCTTTGCCAGAAGCTTCCCTGCGTACATTATTTTTAGTATTAGGGAACTGGTTCCAAGCAGGTAATTCATGTGTTGGGAAAAGACAAAGAGGAAGTAGAAAGAGTCCTCCTCTCTTTCTCCTAGACTTTCTGCTAGACCCTGGACCAGGGTCAGTCCTATTCAGGTGTTCTCAGTGGGGAAGCCTTAAGTTTCTGGGGGCCTCTTATAACTCAGTCATACAATGAACTACAGTGATTTGGCCAAATTCAGTTTTTAGACAACTTGGCTGGAGTTGTATAGAAAGAGCCTGGGTGTTGTCTAATTCTCACTTCCCCCTCTTTTGCTAGAAATGGCAGTCTCTGAAAGAGTTTAATTTGGGAACTGTATGCTACATGGACAGTCCAAATTAGACATTTGTTATCTAGGTTAAGGCAAAAAAAATCAATTCTTTTTGGTCAACCCCAAATATTTGCCGTGCACTTTTCTGAACTTCACAAGAGTTTGACCAACATTTTCTCAGCCTTCAAAAAAATTCTGTTTCTGTTTGCACTATGGGAAAAGAAAGCATATAGATACTATTCTTACATTATTTTTGATTCAAAAGCAAATAAGGAAGTATTGAGGACCCTGTCAAAAAAAGAATTATGTACTTTAAAATGTTTAAAGCATATTCAGAATACAAATTTAAATTTCTTATAATTGACATGTCAATAACAGAAAATGTTCCACTGTTTTTCTTTATTACAAAATAAAAGGAAGTGACACTAGCTTATCAAGAAGCATTTTATGCACAGAATATTTGCGTAAATATATATTTAAAATATATAGACAGATTATATGTAAATCTGATCGTTAGTTTGTTTTTATTTTTCCTGGCTACGTCACATTTTTCTGAATATTTCTGTCTCCATCCTGACTAGTTAAGTTATATAATATATGAAGTAGCCTTTAATCAGAAACAACACTGAATTTTCCAGCATCCTCTGTGAGTACTTTGAAATGTTCCTTCTGGAAATTGTGGTTTCAGGTTTATATTTGACATGTAGGAAGCACAGCTTGAAATAGGCAGCTGTTAGCAAAGAGCACAAGTAACATAAAACAAGTGACATCTGAGTCCTGATTAATCATCATTTCATCTGGCAACAGAAACCAACAGCCAAGTTCATACACAGCCACACAGCATGTTCTTGGAGATCTGGCCTGCTATAAAACCAACACTTGACGTAGCCCAGAGCTATCAAAAATGGTTTCTATACCTTTTCCAATCCTGATACCTCTTGCTTCACTACAGATAGAAGAGCAAGAAAATCTAGCATTTAGCATGCAATATAATGCAAATTTAGGACCCATATCTTTCTTGCTTTGGTATATATATATATGTGTATATATATATATATTTTTGAATATGTATGAATTTGGGGGAGTAGAGGTGAGTGGATGGGTGGATGGGTGAATGATGCTAGCATCCCATTTATTCTTTTCTCAGGAGTAGAAACCCTGAACAAAACTGCCTCTACTGGTTCATTTGAACATGGAAGTGTTGCTTGTTTACTTAGCCTGATTGAGACGGCCCTGAGCCAGTACTGTCATTACTTCTGTACTGAGTACCTGGCTTCTTCTGGAGGTAAGTACCACTTGGCAGACTGGTGATAAGACTGGTCTGTGCAAAGGCTAAGCTTGATTATGGAGTTTCTGGGTGGCACTGGAGAGGCCATCTCTTTTGAATGTTACAGTTTTCTAATCTTAAAATTCTATTTAGCAGGACCTGAAACCGTCAGGGAGGCAGAAAATGCAAGGATCTGAAAGATGCAGCTTTCAGGCAGCTAGGAAGTACAGTGAAAGGGTCCTAACCTGCCGAAACTTTCTTCTCCCGGAGGAGGATGAGTAGTGAGAAGCTGCTTTAGAAAAACGTGCTTGTCTTTTGACTGATAGGGTCCTGTGGCTTCATGTCCACAGCTCCAGGATATCTGAGAACAATTTACAAACAAGGTGGACTGGACAAGGGAATGAACGAGGCGCAGAATAATGGCAATATGGGAAAGATTCTCAAGAAGGGGTACCATGAGCTGGACCATGTTTGGAAAGGTAGTGGGTTAGAATAAAACTGCAGCTCTTACCATCCTTTTAAGGGTAGTTACCTGTGTGTGTGTGTGTGTGTTTAACGTGGAAACTACAACTTTAGAAAAAGGAGGTTATGTGTAATGAGCTGAAACATGAGAATGGAGCACTAATAAAGAAGGAAGTATAATTTCAATTCTATCACCTGTATTAAATAGCATGGAGCGATCATACAGCCAATGTTACGCCGTTCAGAGTTATGTTAGAAACACGTGTAATGGGAATGAATGATAGAACAGAGTGGTGAAATACTCTTAGCCTGGTGAACTGTTCATTTTAAAATTAGTTTCCTTCGATTGTAAGAGTAAAAATCTTAATGTAAAAAGCAAAAGCCACACAAATCGGCGAATTATAAATCTTCCTTCCTTTCCCTCCGTTGCCCACCCCAACCTGAATTCTAAAGAAGAATAAAGTTTGTGGTTTGGTTTGTGCGTTTTCAAAATGCGTTTATGCTGTTGTAAAACCAGTTACTATTGTACCAGGTATTTATAGGTATATTTTCTCCTTTGATATTCACACCTAGCTTTTTTTGATGGCTATTATTATCTCCACTTTAGAGACACAGAATCTGAGTTCTGCTAGATGAAGAAACTTGTCCGTAATCATACGGTTGGCAGGTAGGGGCAAAATCAAGATTTAGAACTAGGTCTTTTGACTTTCAGGACTGTGGCTCTCCTCCTGTAACCTGCTGTCGACCCTCTTCTGTGTGATTATGAGTCTGAGGTGTGAAGTACGGAAAGAGACCCAATAAAAAGAGTGAGCGGGAGCAACTGAAGCAGTATTGTGATTTGCATAATGGATCACCTAATTGCTATTAAGAGCTTTCTTTTTAACCTAAAACTTAAAACTAGGATTGGGGGATATTCAGGTAATTGTCAGCTGGATGTTTCCTGTCTCATTTGCCTCAGAACTGGGCATCTGAAACATTCCTGACTTGCTTTACTGGCCATATGGTTTCCTCTTTGAAAGCATGAAGAAATAGGGGGACTCCTACATTGGACATCATTTTAAAAATAAAAGAAGAACCATTTTAGGATGGGGAAATAATGTAAACTTTTGGAAGAAAGCTACCCAATTCTAGTATTAGTAGGAGTGGAGGAAGGAAAAACAAGATCTAGCTATATATGCTTTAGGAAGGGAAGTTTGAAAAGTAGAGAAATACTTCTCATGGTTTGAAACTCTGAAAAGTTATAGAGCTTATTTATTAAAAAATAACTCGGAAAATATGTAATGGTCTCAATAAGACAGAAAAGACAAGATCCCAAAGAACACACTGTGTTTCTAGGCTGCATGGGGGCATTCAAGTGTGGCAAGAATGAGTACCAGGGATGGGTGCTATAGGTTTGTTGGGTCCTTGGGCAACCCTGTGGTTAACATAAAAGATTGGCATGAACATGTGAGAATTAGGGAGGCTCAAGAACAATGTGAAAATGGAGCTAAGTGATTTTTGTTGTCCTTACGGTTTTTAAATTGTATTCTAGGAGAAGATGTGGTGTGAAGAGAGAGAATTGCTGGTTGGGGGAGTTGGTTCCTGGTGAGTACAAGAAGTACACCACCCAGTCCTTCTTGCTTCCTGATTCTCCCTAGTGAGAATATTCCCTAACCTGGAAATGGTGATCCAAATATTTGAAAAAGTTCTCTCACACCCAGGTAGGAGGGAAGACTGAAAGAAAAGCCCTTAATCCATTGTTTGCCTCTAGCTCTGAGTTTTGGAGGAAATCACAGATTAGTTTGTGTAATCAGTAAAAATCTCTGAGAAATCAATAATGGTAAGATTGTTAGAGAGGAAAGGAGTAAGGGCACCTTCAGGAGCTATAAATCAAGAATAATTATAAATCAATAACCATGGTATATTTTGGTAATTTGCTAAAATAGAGTTTCCAATAAAGAGTGCACAAGCACTTCGAAATGAATGAGACAATTACTAAAAATCAGCATGGGTTCAACTAAAAATAAATTTCACCAGAATCTTTGAACATTAATTGAACTATTTATGCAGGAGTTGTAGCCATGGACCATGACTTCAACAAGGTATTGGTGACAGTACTTGAATTGTTTTGAAAATGGGAAAATGATAGGAATTGGATGAAAAAGTTCAATATACTAAAAGACAACAGTTTGGAGGAAAGTCTGTATGAGGTGATTGAGTGAGATTACATTTTTATCAATGACTTTGGTAAAAATAGAAATAAACTACAAGATATTTTAGTGCTAGAAGGAGCCACAAAGATAATCTAAGTTTTATAGGTATGGAAACTGAAGCACACAGAGTGAAGCAACTTTCCAAAATTTGTACAACCAGTAAGTGAAAAGGCTAAGACTAGAGCCCAGTCTCTTGATTTTGTCAAGTCTCCTTATCTGGCGATAAGGTGATACTATATATAAAGAGATGGATGTCTCTGGATTTAAGTTAAAATTACACAAGTGCAGAAAGAATAAGAAAATCAAGGAAAAAATAAGGATACAAATGCAAAGGTCAGTGTTGCAAAAATCCACCAGAAATCCAAGGGCAGCAAAAGTCAAAGAGGAGTAATGAAGTGGTTTACTCTCTTTAGATTTGAATTTAGATCCACTGTTGTAGACATATTATCTCCTTTAGTCCTCATAACAGTCTTGAGGCCAATACTATCATTATCCCATTTTACAGGTTGAGGAACTGAGGCAGAGAGCAGCTAGAGATCTTGCTGAAGAGCTCATAGGTGATAGGACCAGGATTTGATCCCAGGCATTTTAAACGATGCTTAACTTCCCACACTTTTTCAACCCATCCTGCAATTCAGACTCTTAACCTCCACCATTTATGGTTCCCCTTATTACAATGTAGCAGCGATATATTTCAAGTTATAATGTGTCTGTCTTTTTTCATTTCTGAAGGCACTAACTCCTTGATTGGAGGACCATGAGAAATCATACCTTGTTATTAAATGTATCCTTCTTCATTGGCCAGTCTATGCGTTGAGGTGGCTCCAAAACACATTTGTTTACTGGCTAACCCTCTACAAAGGTAAGAACAGTTGTCTAAGAAACAGGGGAAATTTCAACTTGGAGTTTGAAAGCTTCAGGCTATAAATATCATGATCAGGTTTGGCTTTATGATTTATGTGAGAAACACAAAGACCTAATGGCAGAGACTGACTTCCTAGGGCCTGGGAGGCTGCGTGCAGGCTTCACAGAAGCCTGTCCTGCGTGCAGTGTGTGCTCTCGTTTTACGTTCAGTGTTCATACTCCTTGGGGTAGCCACTTTCTGGTGGTTTGAATTTGTCCAGAACTAGGGATTGCAATGTTTTCACTGTAACCTCTCAAGTCACACATATGTTCCTTTCTTTTTTTTTTTTTTTTTGGCTCGAGGAGAAATGCTTTGGATGCTAGGCTTGGCCAGCTACTACTACATTTTCCAGCAGATGCTATGATCTGAAATGAGTATTTCTGTGTTTTTCCCATTTCCGTAGCTGTAAGCTGGAGTTACTTAGGATGGCCTTCGCCTGTAATAGTTGTCCAACAAACCAGCGTTCCATGTTGTTGAATGTCTGCCACCATTTTCCCATTATTTTTCCCTCCAAATGAACACAACTCTATGTAGTTTGTCCCATGCACTGTGTTCTCACATCTACATGCCTTTGTACATGCTGTTCCTTGTGCTCATGATGACCTTTACCACCTGTCTGCTCAGTGAATACATTCCAAGGCCCCTTCTCTGAGAAACCTTTCTTGACACCTCACTTCAGGCTGAGCCCGCCCATCTTCTGAGCCCTTGTCCCTCCTGGCACTAGGTAGTTCCCTCATGGCACTAATCAAAGCGTATTGTGATTTCTAGATCATTGACTCATTCCTCTACTGGAGTGAAACCTCTTAAGGACAGGGAATGTACATTGTTAATCTCTGTTTCTTTGATGCCTTGTAGGGTAGAGAGATACTCCATACTGTTTGTTAAGTAAATGCGTTGAGGAATGAATTGATAGTTTGTTGCTCTTCCATGTAAGCTGCTCTAATTATAAGGATAGGTTTCTGTGGAAAAACAACAACAACAAAAAAAAACAAAATACTAGCTCCCTACCAGGAAAGCAAAGTAAAGCTCCTCTCAAACACTACCTATAAAACAATATTCTGTGCAGTGTGGGTCCTTTGCTAAACTGTTAAGTTTTCACCAAAATGAGATGACATATAGACAGGCAGTTTATATGTTTTCATATTGCTAAAACCAATTGTTCCAAATTATCTCTATGTAACTAACTAGGAGTATACAACAGGAAGTCAATGTCATGGCAACTGGATCTGGCCATCGCGTCAAGCCTCTTTAGGCTAGAAAACTGCCTTTTTGTCTTAAGGAAAACAAGTCAGGGCCTTATCCATGGAGCCTTAGTCCTCAAATGACATAAACCTCACATAGGAGTCTATAAACTTATACCTAAAGGAAAACTTCATCAGATGAACCCAAACTAAGGTCTACTGGCCAGGTGAGGTTTTTCTGGAGACAAAGGCATTATGTACAAGATATATAAGTAGCCAAACACTCAGAGTCACATCAGTTGTTCATATCTTATTCTTTCTTGGGAATGTCTTTTCCATAATCAATAGCTGATTGTGGAGTGATGCTTCTATGGGCATCCAGACCATCCTTATTCACTGTTGGCAATTTTGAGTTCAAGACCATTTTTATTAGGGCGTTTGACTTCTGATGTTTTTTAGCAAGTCACGGGGATGCTTTCTTTTTAGAATTCCAGGTGTCTTGCTTCATTTCAGTGATGCTCTCTGATCATGGGAAGAAAAGTGTATGAACTATGGGAAAGAGCTCGGGCAGTCTATTCTTTGATGATGTGGAAAAGGGAATACAAATTGGAAATTTCAGAGTTGCCTATGAGCCACCACATCCTGTGGTCACTCTCCCTGTTCAGGATATCCATGGTGTCCCCATTTCAAACATGATCTTTGTACCTTCTGTGGTGACACAATGCCAAATATTTTGTTTCTTCAACAGAAGACAGAAAGAACTCTACAAGTTAGAGTCTGGGAGAAACACATTTCTCACCAAAGTGATTGTCCACGGTGAAGATGCTTTCCAGCACTTCTGTCGTTCTTGGCTTCTGAGACTGTGCTGATGCTTTAAAGGGACAACAATAGCTGGTTTTTAGTGGACCTCAGCTTAGCTATAAAAATTTCAGATATAAAGAGGCATCGGATGATTACTTGCCAAGAAAAGTGCTATCTAAAAAGTGGGACTGTATACATGTGAAAAAGTAAGCCATTGCTGCTGTCCTGAGAGTTAGGAGACTTGATAATAACCTCGATGGATTTGCCTTTGCATTTGGTGCTGTTCACAGATCTCTTTGGGGCTGTTTTCTAAGAATAAGCCTACACTTTTGTTTTTATCAGACATGCAGTGCTGAATGCTTTGTTTCATTCTTTTAATTAAGTGATTATTTATAAGCCTGGAGGAGTACCATGGAGTGCTGAATTTTGAACCATCTGCTGCCTCCTAAGTCAGGTTATTACATAAAGCAAATTTTAAACGTTGTAATGGTAAGAGACCTCAATGTCTCTCCTGTTCGGATTGATCACATGCCATTATTCACTGTACACCATCCCAGATCGGCTTGTATTTTAAACTGGAACTGGAGGTGGGGTACAGCTGAGAAATTGCCTGAGGAATTCAAGCTGTTCACATCCCATGAGTTATCTACTCATAAAGGGTGCCAATCATATTGTCATTGTAGAAAGGATTAGTCACTTTTTTTTTTTTTGGACCACACTACCTGCAGCTCATCTGGGACTGTTTTGCATGAAAACAGCCGACTGGAACCCATGTGTGAAGGCCAGAGATTAAGTTGGATTTAGGAAATCATATAATAGAGTGTAGCAAATGCCTACACTGTTTAATCTGCAAAAGTCACTGATTCTTACATGCCAGGAGCCCAAAGAACACTCTATTCAAAGATGCATATTGTCATTCCCATTAACGTGACTCAGTCATGATGATTTTACACAGACATTCCAGACAAAGGACTCCTTAATCATGGCAGACATTTTCATAAATGGCTTGAGTTAACCCTGATTTCTATCCCTCCCCCCTCCTGAAATCATCACATGCAACACCTGTGGTTTGCAATCCAGATAGACACTTTCATCTTCTTCATTTGTGACTAAGGAGTTTCTGAATAGTAAGATCACCCATTGTGACATTTTCGTCACTCATCACTAAGGCTGAGATGCTATGCTAACCACATAGGATCCCTTGAATGACATTTTTTTTCCAGGAGACCGGCCTTCTAAGACATGTCAGGTTTCTTGTCGTGACAGTGCCACTCCACATTCAACAAGGGTCTGTCTTGCTCCCTTACTAACAGATCAGAGTCTCGGGAATAACTTTGTTTCCAACTAGACTTAGCCAGTACTTAGAAAAGGAACAAGAAAGTGTTTTGCCCACTGAATCAGTCTGCCCCTGCTCTTTACTCCCCTTTTCCCCCATAAGTTAATTTTCAAGAGAAATCATGGGTCTGAATTGGTTTGAGTTGCAGTCCCTGACAATAAGATCAAAAGGTCTCTGGCATAGCTGGTCCAGTGTGCGTTAGTGTTTGCCAGCAACACCTGAGAAAGGATGATTCCAAGAATGACTTGATACCAACAGACTTGCTAAAACACACCCTTTAGTGCCTTGGATATTGATTTTTGACAATGTCTCTTGAGGATTTAACAGCACAAGTTAAACTAATCCATTTTTTTCTGTGGCCCCTGAAGTCACTTGGATGAAGTATGATAACTATAGTCTTATCAATAAAGAAGGCATTTCTGTCCATTTTGATTGCTAACCAAAGTCCAAAAACTGTTGAGTATGCCCTGGGAGAGCGCTGAGGGCTGTAGCCTAATTTAAAAAAAAAATTATCATTTACTTCTAAGGTCCTTTGGCAATAATTTAGGGCAGAGAGATATATACCATATTGTTTGTAGCAAACAGAACCATATTATGCATGGTTTTCCTGTTGACTGTTCATTACTCCAACAGAGCTGCCAGTTACAAAAGCAAGTCGTATAGCTGTTCAGTGCATAGGATTGGAATCAAACAGGCCAACATTGGAATACCAGCTCCTTCTCTCACTAGCTGTGAAATTTGGGCAAGCTATTTTAATTCCTTAAACTTCAGTTTCCTCTTCTGTAAAAAAGGAATAATAATAATAGTCTCCAGTTTATGAAGTTGTGTAAGGATTAAATGACAACACGTGTGAAGCACTTAACTCACTGGCTGGCACATGGTAAATGTTCAGAAAATGATAGAGAAGATGAGACTGGCTAATCCAGCAACCATTCATTCAGCAAACTTGGATCGATGCCAGTTTTACATGGCACTCTTTGCAAATGTAGGTTTTTCTAAGATGAGTATTGTACCCCTACAAAGAAACATGCCAAGGATAAAATTTTGAGATAACAGCTACGTGCACAAAAACACAGGTGAAAGAACAACTTCAGGTGAATCGTGGCAGGCTCCCATGTAGAGGTAACATTTATACTTGATCTTGAAGACCAAGTGAAAGTTGACCAGGCAGAGAAAGGGAAAGGAAGTTTTCAGGCAGAAGGAAGAACACAAAGATGGAGACGGTAAAAGGCACATTTGCTGTAATTGTATCAGATGGTTCAGTATTATCAGTGTACCCAGTACCCTCTAGGGATTAGTAGGGTGAGGAAGGTTAGAACCACTGTGGCTGGACTGGTGAGTATTTTATACACTATGCTAAAGAGTTTGGATTTTATTCCTTAAGAAATGAAAAGACATTGCCATTTGCAGCAACATGGATGGATCTAGAGACGACCATACAAAGTGAACTAAGTCAGATAAAGACAAATACCATATCATATCACATGTATGTGGAATCTTAAAGTATGGCACAAATGAACTTATTTACAAAACAGACTCACAGACATAGAAAACAAACTTACAGTTACCAGGCAGAAAGGAGGAGGGAGGGATAAATTAGGAGTTTTGGATTTGTAGATACTAACTACTGTATATAAAATAGATAACCAACAAGGACCTACTGTATAGCACAGGGACCTATATTCACTATCTTGTAATAACCTATAATGATAAAGAATATGAAAACGAATATACACATATATGCATAACTGAATTACTATCTGTACATCAGCAACTAACACAGCATTGTAAATCAACTATACTGCAAGAAAAAAAAACTAAATAAAATAAAAATTTTAAATGAAAGGAATGACCTGACCAAGGTTATGTTCCAAAAAGACTACAGTGGATGACATCCAACTTGAAAAGCAGGAGTCAGGGAAGGGTGATCAGATGGACAGCAGACTCATTCTGACTCAGGCTGTGAGTCTTTGAAAGCCAGGGACCTTGTAATCTCCATAACGATGAATAAGCTAATAATAGAAAGGTCAAGATTGGAGGTTTAAAGAAAAATTTGAGTCCACATAAAAGCATTTATTTGGTTGGTAGTAATGACTTAAGTCCTCGTGTCTTAATTTGTTTTCCTGTTTGTGTCATTACAGGTTATCTTGAGTCCTTCTTGGAAAGAAGAAAAAATAATTTTCACTGTTGGAGACTACAACAGCTGAAGAACTTTTAAATTCCTGGAAGCATCTCAGAAAAAAAGTAATATAAAGACTTTCTTCCATGTAGAAATAAAAACTGAGAGTCAGTTAAATATACTTTGATAACAGCTGAAATTCACGGGATGTCACTAATGTATATTTATTGTTGCATTTCTTTTTTTTTCCTTTATTACATTTCTTTAAATCTGGTGTGCATGATATTCCTTAAAACTATTGTGGCAACATCAGTAATATATACTTAATGCATATGTGTAGTTTTTATTTTGCTGGAAAGTTACTTTTTTTTTTTTAGTAGAAAAATTCTAAGCGAATTATAGATGAGGTGTTCAGTGACATCTGTTTTCCACACTGGGAGAGCTTAATTGCCTGGTTTGTATTCTACGAGGCCTCATTGTGAACCTAATGGCAGCTACCCAAATTGGAGATGCAGGGCCTGGGAGGGACCAGCTAGTTGCTGGGATGCGCGCCCTGCAAGTTCAACCCCATTAAGTGATGGCAAATGTCTCAAGATGCTTTGCTGTTCTGGCCACTTGGCAAGGAAGCCTGGTCTATATTTGGAATATAATTTTTGAAGGCGTCGCTCCTCTTGTATTCTCCCCTGTGCTACATTCCCTCTATGGGATTGTAAAAGTCAAGTAGCTGGCATGAATCAACACTTTGTCACTAGAAACAGAGGGATTTCCATAATATACCAGGTGGTGATGTCAAAAATAGCGACACCACAATTTTAGTGTTCAAAGTCCCACTGATACACCGCCTGGAGTATCAGCATTTGCTTAGAGTTTAACTGCAGGTGTTTTTGGAACACTGGTCTTAAATTTTCAAAGTCCACTAATTGGAAAAATACTCCGTAAGTTTTCAATGGCATTTTTCATAGACCAGTAAAAGCAGTTCTACATTAAATCAGTGGACTTTCATTATTATAAACTGCTAAGTGTTGGCTCTTTCCATATTGAAACACTGAGCCCTATATATATATTGATTCACTAAAAAGGCATATCTTTAATGGTGTTTTGGAAAGTGAACTTTGTGGTATTAAAGCAACATCACATCTTAGGTTGACTAAAAGTGTCAGGAGTCCTATGTCAATGAGCTTACCGATTAATCTATAGTCATATTATAAAACACTTGCTGATTTCTCAAGAATGTGTATTCCTTGATTTTCATCTCATGACCTCCATCATGGACACCTGACCACCACAGAAGCTGGTTCTCAGCCGTTGGCCATTCTGTTGCCCTGTGGACAGTAGTCCTGATGGTAACCTCTTGTTTTTCATGAGTAGTTTCCGAGTAAACACATGACAGAAGGGGAATTAATTAAGGAATAAATTAACTCCAAAGCAAAGGAAAAAATAGTGCATCTTAGATAATTACCCCTGGAAAGAAATTTCTACAATGAAACAGTGTTAACAAAAGCATTTTTAAATTGCCTTGCTCTTGCCTCCCTCCCTGTGATAAAGTGTTTGAACAGCCTTGCCCATTTTTGGAGGAGGAGAAGGGGGAGCAGTGGAGAGAGTTTTCAAAACATCAGCTTTGTGAGATTGCTTTAGAATGAAAAGTTCTGGGAAGGAAATAAATAAAAAGATTCTTTCTGAGATAACTTCTGAGTCGGGTTTTTCTGAGGCTTAGACCCAGGGAGGCAGGGATCAGGAGAGCAGTGAGGGGGGCAGGCTATCTGGATGCTAAGGTTGACTCCACTGCTTAAAGTGGTAGAAACTTGAACTTGGTACTTGACTTTTATGAGCCTCAGTTGCTCTTGGAACTATTCCTCTTGGACTGGAGGTGTTGAAAGTTACCAAAAAGCTAACATAATATCTACTAAAATCTAAAATATTTAATTCTCATTATGTGTGAAACACAATTTTTTTAAACTGTTTTTCATAGATTTTCTCATTTAACTCTCACAATAACCCAGTAAAAGAGGTACTATTACTATTTCGGTCTTAGACATGAGGAAAGAAGCAATGAAGGATTAAGTAAGCCCCAGTCTGCACCCAGAGTTTTAATCACTGAGCTGAAATTTTTCAAGAAGGCATGCTAAAAATGTATAATTGTATCTGTGCTATGATGATTGTATTTGCAATATTAAACTCATTAAATGTAACTATCATTTTTACATTTCTAGTGATAGAGAGACACTGAAGATAGATTGGTAGATGGATTTCTAATGCTGTCACTCTGCTTTTCTTAAGGATGGAATGGTGTTTCTTTCTCTTGTGTTAGCTACGGGCAAGACATCTGGCATAGTCAGCACTCTGCCTATTCTTTCTGTGTTGAGAATGCAGAGAGCTTGAGTAGGGTGAGGACAGGGCTCTAACCTAATCGGGAATGGTCCTGGGTGCCCAACTGCATTGAGCCTTGGGTAGTTGTCTCTGGACTATTCAGTCTAAGGACAAACTGAGTGCAGCCCTTAGAGCTGCTCTCAGATCAAGGCATCTTTTGTCGCCCTCGCCCCTCGCATAGGCAGTAGAGCTGAGGAGGGTGGGGGGGATTCAGTCTCATGTCCTCACTTTGTGACATCGTCTGTCTTTTGTATTAAACAGTTTTCTGTTGTAGGGGAATGCTACTTTTTCATTTATGAACATCCAGATTGATCTAGAATAGGAAGATTATAGTTGTGAGCTGCAACCCAAGATTCATTTAGGGGTTTCCAGCCTTCTAGACATAGGGCAGGTTATCATTCTGTTAATTCTCTTAATTCATTCAAAAAGAGCATTTACTCTCAACCTCGTAGAGGCATTATTCTAGGTGTCCTCAACACAAAGACAAAAATGTGTGGTTCCCAGACTCAGGTAGCTTCAAGTTAAGTGGAGACTAGAAATGCAAAGGAAGAATTATATTTACTAAGACAGTAATGAGATGTGTGTTTATGTATCAGGAGCTTGCGAAAGATTTCTCAAAAGGATTAGGGTTTGAGCTGAGAACCGAAGGAGAGAAGAATTTGGCAAGGCTACAGATGGCTAAGGGACAGTGCGTTCCAGGTGGAAGAAACACTATGTTCTCTCTTTTAGGAAAGAATGTGCAGTATGATCCAGCAGACTCTGAGAAAGCATCTTTCCCAGGACACTTCAAAGGCGGGTTTTCTGTGTACATGGACCTGAAAGTCTTTTTCCTGTTCACCTCCATTCCTCCCTCATTCTGTAATTCCCTCTGGTCTCTTAGTACTTACGTTATCAACTGATTCTGAGGCCCTCTACTTATACCTGTTTTATGTACGAACTTGACATCTCGTTTGCTTGGAGATGTCTCAGGGACTCATAAGATGTCTACTCTTTGTGCATTTTATTTTTGCCTTCTCTCTGTTTCACATTACCTAGTGGTGTTACTAGTGATTACAATAGTGTCCTTGCTGCACTTAAAATACATATGTTTAATCAGTGCATATTTTCTGATGAAAAATGATTTTATGAGTTCCCTAGTTGTAGTAAGTACATAATTGAGATGCTTGATTCACCAAATCACGAAAATACTACTAAATCAAATGAAGTAATGATCGATTGGACTTCTTCAAATTCATCCTGATGGAAAAGAGCCTTTTATTTATTTAGCTTCATGTTTTCAATGCTTCCTTTATAAACAATCATCCTAATAGTTGAGTATTTTGCTTGATCAACATATAATTACAAAATTAAGAAATGCCCTTAAATGCAATATTTATGCAATTATTAATAATTATTAATAATTATATTGTTTTATTTGTATACCATATATAATTATATATAATTATGTAAATTAATTAATAGCTATTAATTAATCAAATACTAATCTGCTGCTTCAGTCTCCTCAATAACAGACCAGCTTTTGTTTCAGTAACTCCAGTGACAGATGACTCTCTTCTTTACACCCTCCTCCTTCCAGCCTCTCTGTTCCATTTCTAAGAACTCCTCCTTATGTTGGCCCTAATTATGCCTTGCTCTGAATTAGTGATTGTCAGTAGGGGAAGAGGGTAATTGTGTAATTTGGCAGTGTATGGAAACATATTGGATGTCACGACTTGGGATGCTGTTGGCATCTAGTCTGGTGGGTAGGGGCCAGTGATTCTGCTAACTAACCCACAGTGCACAGGGCAGCTCCCCACAACAGAAGTGTCCAGCCTGGCGGGGCCAAAGTTCAGAAACTCTGCTCTAGATCTATTGAAATGCATTCGTTTTCTCATTCAGCAGTCTGTCTGATACTTGGACACAGCTTCCCATTTGAAGCCTTTTTTGTACCTCCCCAAGTCCTTCAACTATTTTTATGATGTTTCTATAATAAGATCAGTAATTCATATGTGATTCTTCCCTAAAGCATTTGAATTGAAAGGAGGAATGAGTCATTGAGGGAGGGCGATGCTTAATACAAAAATGACCAGTACTGGTCTGCTTTCACACTTTGAAACTGAGGGGAGGAGGAATAATATACTGGTGTCTTTATGGGCTGTTCTTCTGACTCCCATCTAGATAGAATCTGGGAAACTCACTGCAAGGGATTTAGTTTGAGTTATTCTTCGCAGAGATGTGATGTGAGCAGTGCATGACATGTCCAAATCCACATCGTGATAAATGTTATAATGACCACCTTTCAGGGCTAGAGAGTTCCTGGGATGTGGTTATTGCTAAAAATTCTGATAAAGAGTCTGACTGCACCAGGCATGGGGAAGAGGGAGTGAGATCCTTGTAAGGCTGTCTTCTGCCTGTTTTATGAGCTTTCTAACCTACATACCCATTTGTGGCTGAGGTTACTTTAACACTCAGGGACACAAGAGCTGGGTCAACTTACACCTGTCATGTTCCAGCTGAAATTTGCTCTGGCTAGGCAAGAAGAACCAAGGAAATGATACCTCCTCTGCAAAGAGTCAGGGACATTTTAGGAACATTTCAAAAGAGACTTTTTTTTTTTGACTGAACAACTTGTGAGCTCTAACTACAGTCTATTTGAAAAAGCACAAGCATAAACACTGCTTCAAAATGAAACCATGTAGACAATTGTCTCACTAAAGGCAACCAACCTGATTCTCTTCTTGAATAAATACTATTTTCCTCCAAGTGGGTGGATTGCAGGCTTATAGAGAAGAGCAAGGTACAGACCTAAAAGTGCTTTGAAAAGAAACTTACTCACCCGAGGAGGTGAATAGAACAATGCATATTTGCTACTAAAGAAGGATTTTGATTCTAGCTTTTATTGATTACCAAATTAAAAAAAATCATTATGGTTGCTTTATAAAATGGGCCACCACAGTGTGGTTTGTCTCACTTACTACAGGTGCTGGGAAAATATCCAGGTTTTCCTCAATGGTGATACAGATTAATCCAGCGAATCATTAAGAGTTTCTCCTTTCCTGCAGTTTTCACTATCTACCAGCAGTGCCAGTTGTATGAACCGACAGAGCAGAGGGTCTCCCCTCTGCTGACTTCCAGGAGGAGTCTTCATTAGTGGGACAATAACAAGAGAAGAGGAAACTGGAGAGAAAAGTGTTTTCAGAAGCCATCCCACCAGTAAAGCAATCTAGGCTGAAATGGGGGAGATTATAATGTCTAAACTGATCCAACCACAAAAGAGGAGATGCACAAAAATGATCATTCTGGATAATTCTCTGTCTCAATAGACAGTGTTGTGACTGAAAACTCTGTGATCTGGCCTGGGACTGGATGTTACTGTTTTACATGATAGGAATTTTTACAATTGTGTGGTAGATTTATACTAGTACATTTTCCCTATATTTTAACCCTCTTTTGTTCCCCTAGCTCAATTC